ATGCTGCATCCAGCATTCTAACTGAAGTGTTGAATCAAGTGAACAAAGACAAAAATCCTTGTGCCATTTTCTTCAGCAGGTTTGCTGGTAGTGTTGGAAAATCACTGCAATGAGATGTTTGAGGGTTAACCTTACTGTTTGGTGGTTAATTTTAGAGTAGAGATTAGTTGAGAAAGTAGATTCCTTCCATTTCTGTGCTGACTGTTCAGAGCCTTGTGTTTCTGTATCCATCTTTCCAAAGTGTTCCTGATTCAAGGGATATGATACAGAGATTTAGGGTTTGGGGTCTTTTTCAGTGTGGAACCACCAGCAATTGATGTGGGATAATTAGTTGAGGCACAAAAGAGCTGGTTGTAGTGTTACAAATTGAAAGCTATTACTAGAAGCAGTAGAGTTATATTTGTGTAATACTTTGAGAGATAATAATGGATAATTGTTACTTCAGTTCAGTACTTCAGTTATAGCATATGAATCTGTAGAGAACACCTTGTGGTCTTGAACAATGAAAAATCTTCACTCTGAAACAAATATTTAAATTCATGGTGTTGTGATTATTTCAATTTTTTAATAGAATATTGGGTGGAAATAGTATGATTTTACTTTGCTGGCATAAAACTAATTTTTTTAAAAAAAATTGTTTGGAAGAGATTTTATGGAATATTATTTTATTAAAAAAAAAACACTGAAGAAGCACTGATACATTACTGAGAGCAGTGTGCACCTCATTCTCACTAATATTGTCCTCCTGAGCATTAGTAGCTTCACTGTGTTACTATGTAAGGTCAGAAGCCTGAGCAGAGTGGCCAAAATTGGAGTCTTACACTGGAGTATGCTGGAATCAGACACAGAAGTCTTCTACAGATACACTTATCACTCCTGGTGTTTGTGTGTATTTATGTGCACATTGTGGGTTACACTCGGTATACGCTGATGGGGGAAGGGGAGGACAGGACCCCTCTTCAAGCGTGTGTCATTCTCTGAAGTGTTCCGTCAGACTGTAAGGCTTTACTTTCAAGCATGTCATCTGTAAGCTATCTTTCATTTCCATGTTTCAAAGAATAGTGCTCAGAGGACAATCTCAGACCTGTAGAGTTTTTATCCCCTTATGTGTGGAAGCTGAAGTGCTTTGCAGACTTGCAGCTGCAAAGGTTGAAGTGGCAGATACTTGGTAAACTTTCTGGCTGGACCTTGGTACCTTCTCTCATCACCTTAGTTTTATGTGGGTGGGTGCAGAACTTCTTGTCACGTCTTGTTTGTCTGCTTGCTCTCCCTAACACCATCTAAACATTTTTTTTTTTTTAACTTCGAATTATACAGAGGTATGTGCAATACTTCCATTCACGCCTGACATCCGTCTCCTTTCCCCCTCTTGCTTATTTTCTGATTTTCTTTTTTTTTAGCACACTATAGGATATGGCACTTGGATCATGCTGACAGCATTATCTCAAATTTACAAATCTCAAAATATAACTTAGAACAAAATTTGAAGCTATTTCAAATTGGTTACATTCTTTCAAAGATTTTTTTTCTTTAAAAAATGCAGACAAAATTGTGGACAAAGTGTATTGGGGCATTTAATCTATGGTGTATCTATTAAACTATATTTTAACATTTTGAAAATTATAAAATGCATGTAAAGCTTTTCACTTTTTTGTAAGAGGAAGTGTCTTGTTTTCTAATGCAGTTGGAGGCCTGACATTTGTAGCTGTTACACTCTGATTTTTCACTAGCGATGTCCATTTACTTATGTGGAAGAATTTAGTCTCAGACTTGAGCTAACTATTCAATGTTGCTATAAACTGTAGATACAAAAATTTAAAATTGAGTGTTCTCTTGCAAGAAATTAAAGCTAGCACTGTGCTCACTGTCACCATGCTTGCTGTTTCCCAGAGGTGTGACAGTGCCCTCTCTTGGCTTTTCTGAACAATTTTCTTTTTTTAAAAAAAGAAACAATACTGAAATAATTTTTAAGGAATAGAGTAAAGAGTAAAAATTGTATAGACTCAATAAGAGTCTTATTTAAAAGCCATGTAAGATGCGAACAGAAAAGAATGCTACAGTTTGTAACGTTAATGTCAACCTATTTATTTGCTGTGCCTTTATTTAGGATGTAACTTTGAAAATATACTTGTATTTAATGTCTTTGTCCATGTCAAAAGTTTCTGTGAATGTGCTCGTCTCAAGATTGCGGTTGTCCAGTGTTTCAGTTAAGAATTTGGGGTAAATCCAAACGTAGTCTCGCAGATAATAGGGTGATTTAAACACGGGCTGCGAAGATACTTTCTGTCAGTCTTGGCTGTTGTATGTCCGTTTGTTTGGGAAGCAGACCGTGTCCATGCGATCCAGCACGATTCCCTGGAAGCTGCCCAGTGTAAACTAATCAGAGAGCCCCCTCTGGTGTCTGAAAGTGTCCTCGGATATTAAATTTATATCAATCACAGGAAGTCTTGGCAATCAAGCTAGTCACTTTTTCCCTTCACATCTGGATGTAAATTATTTTTTTGTTGCAAAGGTCACAGGAATCATGGGTAGGGCATGGAATGAGGGCCATAGAAAACATGGGAAAGGAAGAATAAAACTCCATTTCCACCTTTTTAGAAATGGTTATTTTTAAGTGACCTGGAATGGTGCCAAACTACACAACAGTTTTTTTTTCTCCCTTGAAGTTTACATTTGTTGCCGAATTAAATACGGCTTAAAGATACTTTGTTTTGGAACGCTTTGTGCAGTTAGATCTCATTTGGTGTTTGTAAGAGAGCTTTCTCCTGGTTGCTGAGAACAATAACTTTACTGCAGGAGGGTTTTAGAAATACAGTATGTTTCTGGACTTAGAGGGGTTTAGCTGCACCTTCTTCCTTCTTTTGGCATTGCTTAATTTCCCTTCTTTCCTTCCGTTTCCCCCTTTCAGCCCCAGTGCTGCTTCAGCCGCACACTTTGAGCTCTTCCATAGCTGTTGCTGGCATTTGTTTTTACTGTAAATTTGCATCTTTCTGTGCATTTTTCCATTCTTAAATGATTTACTCTAAGAACTGAAGGAAATGCTTCATGTTATGCTTCCCCCCAGCTCTGCAAGTCTCTCAAAGAAGCGCTTGGGGGGGCGGAGGGGTTATAAAAACAAGGAGACCCTTTGCCTGGGCTCGGACAAGGGCACCAGTGTGCTGGGAGCCGCCGAGCAGAGCGCTCCAGCCGGCGGCTTTCGGGCTGTGTTGCTGTAAAACGTTCCATGCGTATGGGAAATAAAGGTGGTGTCAGTTTGTTTGTGTGTATGGTAAAAAAAATGTCAGAAACAGAAGCTTGAGATGCATTTAGCATAAATGAATTTGTAAAACTGTGATTGCTGTTGTTCATTACTGCGACGTTCTTACGTGCTTTTTTTATCCAGATAAGTTCTGTTAGCTTGCTGATTGATTATTCAGTCATGTAGCTTATGCTCTCTTTAGACACAAAGTTGAATAAAATCGTACATCAGAATCTGACAGCAGGAATTCTCATGCTGAGAATCCAAGATTAAGTCCAGGAATTTTATTCTGTTTTAACAATTACCTTCTGTGTCCCCTTTCAGACTTAAGGGGATCTCGCTCGTGTTTCTGCTGTTCATAACTCCCCTTTCCAAGATCTTTGCTGTCCTTGTGCCAAATAAAATTGAACGAGTATAGCTTGTATGCCAACTCCTACATGGACAGAAGGATGACTATTAATATTTTTTTTTCCCCCTTCTAGTCCTTTCAGGTCCAGAAGAGGTTTTTAAGCAGCAAATGACTTCTCCACATTGTACTATAAGATCGTTAGATCCTTCCTACGGTTCAATCAATTTGACTTTATGGGATGGTTTGTGTTGAACAGTTGCCTTACAGGGGTTTTTTAGCTTCTGAAACCAGTTGTAGGGTGTACTTTTAAGAGTTAAGTAAACTCCCCAACTTTTGATACAATAGGTGTAAATATGTCATTTCTAAGGTTTTTCAGATGGGCTGCAAAGTATGCAGAGAAAGCAGAGGCCACTGCATTCCCTTGTACTGACGGTTTCATTGCTGTTCTGTGCCATATTGCTCCATAACCAGCACGCTGTTTTTCAGAGGTTTGCCATGTGAATGTTTTGGGCCTGCTTCTTCACCTTAAAACCTAAGGAAAACCATTTTGTCGTCAAAAATGTATCTGGATGCTTAGGGCCTTGAAGGAGGATTCTGGGCTTATAGTTGAAGATCACCATCTTGAGAGATTCAGATAAAAAAAAAAAAAATCCATATTGACCATTGTAATATAATGAATATGGGAAAAATTCCTTCGTTTTTCCAAGTTAGGTTTCTCTGTGTACTCTGGTAGAGACACACCAAGCTCCTTACAGTATTTTCAGTGCTTCAGTTGTCATACAGAGTGCTCTGCAGCTGTTCTTCTTTTTCTGTTTTCCCTTAATTAAATAAATTCAAGTTAGGAATCAGACTCTAGTGAATCTCATCTCCCTTGCTTCAGTCTTATGTTAATTTTTTTAAAATTTATTTTCAATTTTTTTTTTTTTTTACTACACTTGCTTGGTACTGATACTCTGGAGTTTCTCTTGTAGCATTCACCATTCAAAAAAAAAAAAATCAATCTGCTTCTAATCGAGCTATGAAGCCTCTTGCAAATAACTGTACATCATACAAACCTGTAAGCAAACCATGTCTAGGTAGGGAAGCTATCAGCTTTGACTCCAGTGGTTTGGTTTGGATTTTAATTTGACCCAAAGCCATTTTTACTGGACTGAATCCATCTGTAATGTAATCCCTAGTTTCTCATCTGTATTCTTGAGGACTAATAGAATAGTAAAACCTTCTTAAAGATAACTTAAATGTGTTGTATGGTGTCCTCAGGGTAACTTCTACACTAAAGATGTTTTCTTTCCCACCCTGTAGAGGTATCTCATTAAGTGAGATACACACTGGTGTCATTATTAAGTTTTCATGCGTTTCTCAGTTTTGATGCTAATCTTCATGTGTGTTAATTTTTTTCCTTTGCAGCACCAATGTGGTTATGAATTATTCAGAAATAGAGTCTAAGGTTCGAGAAGCAACCAATGATGATCCATGGGGACCTTCAGGGCAACTCATGGGAGAGATTGCCAAGTAAGTGATAATTTGGCTCAGTGATGAAGAAAAGAAAGGTGCATTTTATACAGGAACGTGAAATTTGCTGCTAAATCAACTGTGGCATGCTAATTGATAATGCTGAAAAGATGCTGTAAAACAAGTCTTATTTTTTAATGCATAATCTTTAATTAATTAAAAAAAAAAATTAAGTCCAAGTATTTTTTTAAATTCTTTATTTATATTTATGTAGACTCAGAATTCTTAAATATATCTGACTTCTTTGGAGTGTTTATTTTCAAACTGCTTTCTTGTGACATTCCCAAATAGAGCAAAACATGTCAAGTTCTTTCTTGACCTTTTTTTCTGTTAAAAACAGCTGGGAAGTGGCAGGTTTGTCTAGTTGCAGTCGTAGTTACGGTATTCATGTTAAACATTGTTTTCGTTATAAATTAGTGAAGGTTCTTTCACTGCCTCAGATTTTTAGAATTTTTTTTCTTTTGTAATACTGGTATGCAAATGACCTCTCTATCAGTCAGAAATCGGGATAGCTTTTCTCCTTGGCAGCAGATGTGAACGGGCTTGGATCAAGCCTGCCATCTACTGTCAGCCCTGAGTCCTAGCAAGCTGTTGTGGCAAACCACGGAGAATAAAATGCCTTTACTCCTTCTGTTTCGTTCTTTAGGGCTACGTTTATGTATGAACAGTTTCCAGAACTTATGAACATGCTTTGGACTCGAATGCTGAAAGACAATAAAAAGAACTGGAGGAGAGTTTATAAGGTGTGTATGTATATGAGCTGGAAGTGTTGAAGACTTTGTGTTGGTCTATGAAGGACATAATGCTTGTTGCTCGTATAATGTTCTGAGGTAGTGTCTTATTTAGATACTCTTATATCACTTAGTCCACTAGCAACCTATAATTTTTTTCCTAACTATATGACTTATAATTTTGTTACTGAAGTCAGTGTATTTCAAATGCAGTATATGAAAGAAACAAAATTTCTGGTTTTAGAAGTGTCTAAGATGCTCCTTAAAAAACATAATAGAGCAATTACATTTTGCTGATATTCAAGAATTGGAGTAGCATTCACATTTTGAATCTACCCAAAGGAGTTGTTACAGTGCTTTGTGAGTAGTAGATGCTAACTTATAGTGCTATCAGGAAAATGTTTTTGAAGGGGTTCAAGAATACCTGAAATTAAAAGGAAACTAATTGTAATTTTCTGCCAGTTCATAGTTCTCTAAAAAATACAGTTTAGCTTTGAGTGGACCAAATTTTTTTCAGATATTATCATACAAGGCTTTTATGTCCTACTTGTGTTTTGGAAAAAAACTGAATCATTTGCATTTTTCTTGGTTTTGGCTAATTAGCATGGTGCAGAAACTTTTTGCTTAAGATTATATCATGCTGCACTTAAAGTGGTGTTCGGTGTTCACTGAATTATGCAAATATAACCTCATTTTTTAGAATTAATGTATTAAACTAGCTTGTATTTTGTTTTTCTTGGTGCCAGGATTGTAACAAGACAGAACTAATTCTAAGGCATGGTTTGTGCTTTTCACAGGTGCTTGATGTTTTGTATTCATAGTAATTGTTTTCCCTGAAGTACAATATAAATTAATATTTAATGCTATCACACATAGCTACTTAATGTTATAAAGGCTGCTTGGAATTGTTTATCAGGTTTGGATAGGTTGAAATATAATGATAGTTTTAGCTGATGAAGGCACTACTTTGGAGAGTGCATTAATTTTTTTTTTCTAGATAGAAATCCTCTACATAAAAAATTGCTACTAAAGGACTATTTAAACTTCATTTGTTTTGTTGCTTGCTTAAATTTGTCCTGAAATGCGGTTACGTACATCCATTGTATCACGCAGAAGGCTTCTTAAATTTCTGTAGGAGTTTTCAGTGAGAACCATTGGAAGATTTGTGAACAAAAGAGGCAAAAGAAAATGCTTTATTTATCAGGGGTTAACTTTCTTTTAACTTACTACTGCTATCTTTCAAAATAAGTGGTAGCTTACGAATGTAACTAAGTACTTCTGATTTAGTAATGTCAAACTAATTTGTTAAATACAATTTTGATATTCTAAAGAGCAAAAGGTGCATGTGGGGAAAATGTGGGGTTTTTTGTGTATGAAGCCATATAATAAGCATTATTTAAAGGGGGAATATCTTTTTACTAATTTGGGGATGGGGTTAGGTTTGGTTTTCTATTGCTTTTTTTTAAAAAAAAAAAAAAGTTTTTGTTCACGCAATCATAAGGTGCTTTGTATTTTTATAGTCTTTGCTGCTCCTAGCTTACCTCATAAGGAATGGATCAGAGCGTGTTGTTACAAGTGCCAGAGAACACATTTATGATTTGCGATCCCTGGAAAATTACCACTTTGTAGGTGAGCAATAGAAAAATCTTATAAGCAAATTAAAACAGTAGTTGGAGTTGTCAGTCACCTGAACCAGCTTAGAAGCTTCCCCAGTCTAATTAGAATGTGACTGTTGCCAGTTGTGTGAAGAGTGCAGAATCCAAGACGTGGGACCCTAGAGTATTAATTAGTGAAGACAAGAACTTGCAGAAAAGACTGGCTAATAACAACAGAACCAACACAACATGAGTGTTCGGGTTTATATTAAAATATGCACTGGAGACTGGTCCCCTGTGGTGTCCGTAAAGGAATAGCTTTAATCATATGGGAAGAAAAGGTTAGAGCTCCAAAACACACACATCTGTTTGAAGCTGGGTTTTTTTCCTCCCACCAAATAATATTTACAGTGCAAAGGCAGCAAAGCCAGTGTGTGTTTTGAATGTGAAAAAGGCTGGGAAAGGAGCACATTTAGCTTGTAGTACATCCCAACTGAAAGCAATTTTTTTTTAAATTCAGTTTTGCTATAGACTGAGTTCTTGCAATTAAACTTGCAAAAACTCTTCTAAAAAGACTGAGGAAAAAGAGTTGTATTTTGAAGGGTTAAATTGTCCAAGTGGAGAATACAATTTGTCTCAGTCTTTGTTAATCCTTCCAATGTTTCAGTAGCAGTTAGATGTTTATAAATACACCATTCAGCAACAGCTCTCATTTATCTAAGGATGAAAATTTGTGTTGAAGTTAAATATTTGGTTCCTCTTAAAGAAATGCAGTGGACCTCAGTAGCCATAAGATCCTTCTCTGACTGCTGTGGTCATAAATTTTCTTATCATTTTGATGTTCAGTATTGCTACCTCTGATTTATTTTTTTCCTTTCCCCCCCCCCTTCCATCCCTCGTCTCTCCTGCACTACCTATACAGATGAAAATGGCAAAGACCAAGGTATAAACATACGCCAGAAGGTAAAAGAAATGGTTGAATTTGCTCAAGATGATGATCGACTTCGGGAAGAGAGGAAGAAAGCAAAGAAGAACAAAGACAAATACATTGGGGTTTCCTCGGACAGTGTTGGAGGGTTCAGATACAGTGAGTACTAGGCCTTTGTGGTCAAGGATTGACAGTTGAATCTCAACTGTTAACTTGGCTTAGATAACACAGATAACTTAAGGAATTTTTAAGATGCTCCTTTAGATGCTTTTTCTTTATATTTAACTCTCAGCATTACTATTATAAAAGAAATCTTGCACACTTTCCCCCACATACAAATTAAATTATTTACTTTAAAAATCTCTAGGACGGTCTTTTTAAAATAATGACTAACAAGAAACTTGACATTAACTCATTGGCTCAGCCAAAATGTACCCATGTTGTTTTTATCCATAAGCAGAGTCTCTATGTGAAGTGAAAGCTGCTGTAGCAGAAGCAGATAAATAAATGCCCCTGTAAGTCAGGGTTTCTTAGTCAATCCTTAATTTTAAAAAGTGATGATACTTTTCACCAACCACAGCACAAGAATTGCTTTGACTGCTCCTGCCAACCTTTAGAACCATTGCATAATCTGGGTTAGGGGTGTCAGTAATACTTTGTGTGAAGCAATGTAGGGACTATAGGCCATTAGACTTTTTGGTTTCCCAAGTAAAACCATTTGGACGTTTGAAAGATCTGTGGCTTCTCTGTGTTGATTCTGATGTCTGTCAGATCTGATGTTAAATATATGCACTAAGTACCTTGTAGGTGATGAGCCTGTATTTCAGGAGTTCACCAACACAGTTGTTACTGCCTCAGTTTGTGTGGTTTTAAAATCTTGTTTTAGTACTGTAGGTCCCATGTGCTTTTTGAAGGAGTGCTCCCAGAGGTAATACCAAATTTACTGTGTAGACATTCTAAACTTGCAGTTGAATGTTGGTTGCACAGCAACCAGGCTGGAAATTTGGTGTACCAGTGTTCATCCCTGAATCCTAGGGAAGTGTAACTGCTGGTGAAGAGGTTGTAGTATTAGGAAGTTAGTTCTAAAGTTTTCATTTTTAAAAAGTATTAAATTTAAAAATGTTTGTGTATTTAAAAAAAAGAGTGTATAAAGGATCACTTGGTCACTTCTCCCTCATAAAAAAAAAAATCAATTTTCAAAAATAAAAATTCTGAAAATTAAAGAATGACTGTCATTAACCTCAGTTATTGTTGCACAAGGTACTAGTCCTATCTTCAGCTTGAGTCTGGTACTTGCAATGGGACCTTAATAACTAAGGTCCTTTACTTAAAAACCATGCACACACAAAACACACACAAAAAAAAAAAGCAAAGAAAAAAAAATCTAAATGCTGTTGACAGGTAGTCTGATGTACACTGGCTTCTGGAAGTAAATTCATCTGTTTACTGAGGCGACCAATGTTGTTTGTGTGTGCAGTGAGTTCTGTCAGGCTTGGCCTTGGAGGCTGTAATGCCGTCCGTATGTCTGTCTTTAGAGAGGGCAGGGTTTCCTCTGACAGCTCTGGTTAGGTGAAGGCACACAACCAGTGCTCTTTTGCTTATCAAGTCCAAGTGTGCAGCTTCCTTCTTGCTCTCCAGCTCTTGCTGTAATAGGTAGCAGGGATCTGAGCCTGAATTGGTTCTTATGTCTGACGTGTCCCAGCATGTTGTCTGTGATCCAGCTGTCAGTCTTGAAGTTTCTGTGTTTTCCTTTGCCTGGATAAATCCTTTGCCGCTTTTACTAAGGGATGAGTCCCAAAGTCACAGTGGCACAAGACTCTGATTTGCTGGAGTCAGTGACTTCTTTGAGAGAAGGGTTAGGTATAAGATCTGAGTAGTCTGTGCAGGACTTAAACTTCATGGGCCCCTCTCTGGTGCTATGTATTCTTTTTACTCTTCTTCATTGTGAACCTCAAACTTAGATTTGCTGTTGTCTGTTTTTGACAGGTCACTTCTCCATGTTCCTCTCTTCTCCGTTTCCCTCATATGCAGAGTAGCTGAAAACTTCTATCTCCATGACAGGATATGTCTTGTTTTATTATATTCTTTTAGGCTTTTGTTACCTGCTTGGAATTCTGGTGGTGCTCTTTTTAGGAAATACTTATGAGTCACTGCATTTGTACTTTAAGTTCCTGTTCCTCTGTTCTTTCACTGAGCTTATCTTTTGACTTGCTCTATACAGAGTCGTGATCTGTTGCTGTAGGCTGGATAGAAATCTTTCTCCATATGCTCTTTAGTTATTCTATTTCTCAGTGAGGGATTTTTTTTTAATTATTTAAGTTTTTTTCTTGTATTTCATTTTTATTGTAAGGGACTTTTAATTATCCCTTTATTTGTTAAGTTATTTTTTAAAAACTTTGACAGCACAAAACAAACCTTTTCCCAGGTAAGACTTCTAATTTAAAAGATTCTAGCTTTGTAAATATAAAATGCTTGTAACTTCGGAGTTTTCCTTTGTTGCTTTTGTCCTGAAAATACTGAGCTCGTGGGGTTTTTTTAATTTGTTTTAAAATTTCTATCACACAAGGAAACCGTCTAATGGAGTCTACATTAAAATGCTTGAGTGCCTGACATAAACTGAAATAAGGCCATTTTATTCTCCTGCAAAATTTAACAGTAGTACATTTCTTAGCAATTTCTCCTTTTTCAATGATAAAGATCTCACTGAGTATCTTGCCCATTTGTAACAGGTTCTCTACTTTGAAAAAGTTTGCCTATCTAAACAAATATCATTGGAGAATTCCACTTACCTCTTCAGTAAGACAATACATCTTGGGATATCTATTGGACAGATATAACTCAAATTTTGCACCTGGAATCCATAATTTTCTTTTTAATAAAAATGGCTTAATTTAATACATCTTGAACATCACCTGAGCTACAATACAATTAAGTAGTGACATTTTCATCATTCTTCCTTCCTGCTACTGAATTTTACTCAAGTAAAAAAAAATTAACTAGTGTTTCCCATTTTTCAACATTACAAAAAAAAAAATGCTGTTTCATGTGTGATGACCCAAAATAAAATGTCTGTCTAAAAATGTTGTCTAGAAACAGTTATATTGGATTGGTTTATAGAACTATATTTTCAGCAGGTCTGATATAAGATCATAATACAAGATAGTAAAGGCTGCTGTGCTTCTGATAGTTACCTCTTCAATAAAAAAAAGGGACTGTTGCAAAGCCAGCACCTCCCATTTCCAGTAAGCTGCTTATGCAGCCAGGGCTGACACTGCCTCCTCTGCTTCTCCAGCAGAGTCCAAGAGTCTCCTGATGCGCTGGGCTGTGCAGCACATTGAGATTGTGGTGTTGTCGTAAACAAAACTCTTTGAATCTGCATTCC